CCGGCCGCCGCCGCCCTCCCCCCCCACACACACACACCGCCGCTGCCTCCGAGCCCCGCTCACCGGGAATCCTCAAGCCAGCCTCGGCGTCGCCCTTCTCCGGGCTGGCGGCGGAAAGCGCCTGCTGTTGCTGCTGCTGCTGCGGATCGGCGTCGGTGTTGGTCAGCCAGGTCGACTCGGTCTCGCGCGTCCAGCTCTCGTAGTAGCGCGGCTCGATGGCATCGGCACGGCTCCCGCCGCAGCCCATCGTGGCCCTCCTTCCCTCGGCCGTACCCTCAGGGCCGGCACCGGGGCCAGCGGCACGGCGAGCAGACCATCCCTCGCCTCGCCTCGCCTCCGGTCGGGCGTGGACGGAGGGCGCCTTCCCTCCCCTCGGCTTCCCGCCTCCTCCGCACCGTCGCTGCCTTCTCGCGGTCCTTACGAGGGTTTTTCTGTGTGGGCTTCAAATCTCCCTTCCTGATCATCTCCCTCTCCCGCCTCCCTCCCGCATGTTCCCTCCTTCTCCTACTCCTTCTTTGAAACACCCAATTCTTCTCGTCCTTATTTGATTCTTCCCCTTCCTTTTTCCTATTGGCTACCAAGCCGCCGTCCTCTTCTCGGTCCTCCTCGCCCTCGCCTCAGGGCTCCCGGGCGTTATGAGCCCTCGCTTCAGCCCCAGGGTGCAGAGCCAAGGGTTTGCAGAAAGCCTGAGTTCATACCGGCATGGCAACGCGTTTACCCCCTTTCTCCTTTTAATTCTTACCAAGACGGAGAGAAGGCAGACAGACATGCATTCAACAGTTTGTTGAAACACGAACTGCTCCCAAACACAGGAGAGTTTTGTTGCCTAAACAGTGCTGAATTAGTGAAGCAAAAATAATAAGCTATATACCTTGGCTGTGGAAGAACATACAACTGGCTAATTGCCAGACCAGCCAGTGGTTTATTTAAATTCTAAAATACCTACGTTTTGTTCTGTGATTTCTACTTTGTTAAAACCCAGGTTTATTTGACTAATTCTGAAAACTTGTTCTTGGTTTCTTGGGAATAATTTATTGAAACTGGTTATTTTCGGGGAAACACAGTGGGGTGAACGTTGTCTAGAGTTCTACCCTGGGCTCCCAAATGACCATTCAGAGGCTAAAATCTTGTTTAAAGGTGAAGGTTCCCCTTGACATTTAGTCCAGTCGTGTCCGACTCTAGGGCGCAGTGCTCATGCCCGTCTCCAAGCCATAGAGCCGGTGTTTGTTTGTAGACAGTTTACATGGTCATGTGGCCAGCATGACTAGACATGGAACGCTGTTACCTTCCCACTGAGGTGGTACCTATTTATCTACTCGCATTTTTATATGCTTTCGAACCGCTAGGTTGGCAGGAGCTAGGACAAGCGACAGGAGCTCACTCCATCATGTGGATTCGAGCTTACGACTGCTGGTCTTCCGACCTTGCAGCACAGAGGCTTCTGCAGTTTAACCCTCAGCGCCACCATGTCCATGAAAGCTCTCCAAATCTTGTTTACCTTTGTATAATTCATTTAAAAAAACATCTGGTTTATAAAGTTGGGATATTGCTCTTCTGTATCCACAATTGAAAACACCAGGAAAATGTATTGTCAGCAGGAAAAAGGATACCAAGTTTTACCTAACAAAGGGCAGCCTGACTGTTGCAATACCAATGGTAGCAGTCAAGATGATCTACACAGGATACCCTCTTGTGTACACTACCATTCACAAAGTGTCATCAAGGAAGGAAAAATCCCATAAGCTGACTCCACAAGATGATCTACACAGGATACCCTCTTGTATACAGGACTATTCACAAAGTGACATCAAGGAAGGAAAAATCCCAGAAGCTGAATCCTTTTTTCTTTTCTTTTCTTCTTTTCATCAATGAACCACTTCTCAGGCAAACAGAAAGCAAGTGTCAGGGCTGTTTTTTAACAAGTATGAATGGTACATAGAACCTGGCATATGTTCATATACCAAAACAGAAAAGGCACAAACTGGACTGAAGAAAATATTTTACTTTAATATGTTCCTGTCAGCAAAGAATACAAAATGATGGAAGTTAAAAAACAGCTGAAATCAGTGTAAGACATGTGCTAATCTGAATTAACAAAAGAAAACAGACAAAAGAGGAATACAAAACCAGGATGTAAGATCTCTTTTAGATTGAATTGTATCATTCCTTCCACAACCTGAACCAGATATAAATCAGGAAGATGATGACACACAAACCAAGAGAAATACACCAAGAGAAGGGGTTAAAGGTAGAGGTGCTTGATGGAACTGGAAGAGACATTGCAAGATGCTCCAGAGATGCTCATTGGTACCCAACAAAAGTGTCTCAGTTTCTTGCCTATCCTACCTGGCAAGATCATTGCAGAAAAACAAGCCTGGGAACAAAATCCCAAAGCTTGTAGGGTACACTGATGCAAACTGGGCAGTGGACAGTACAGATTATAAGCCTACTAGTTATTTCCTATTCGTATACAGTGATGGTCCTATTTCATTGGCTAGTAACAAACAAGATGCAGCTTTGTCTTTGACAAAGTCGGAATTTATTGGTGCAGCTGAAACATGCAGAGAACTGATATGGCTGAAGAAGCTGCTGAATAACTTTGGGGTAAAGGAAGAGATGCCAATCCAGGTGATGGAAGATAACCAGAGTTGCATCAAGCTGTTGAAAGTGAAAAGATTAATGCATGTACCAAACACATTGGTGTGGTATACCGCTTAGTGTGTGACCTGAATGAGAAGGACATCATCTAGATCAGTGGCGGCGGCAAACCTTTTTGGGCCCAAGTAGCTAAACTGGAAACAAACAAACAAACAAACAAAAACAGCAGGTGGCGTGCTGCGGCAGCGGCTGCAGTGAAACCAGAAGTGGTGGAGGAAGGGGGAATCCCAGGCACAGAGGTGCCTCAAGGCCCCATTCTGGATTTGCTGCCAGCTTGTCACCTATTGAAGCACCAGCACAGTGGCTGCACCCGCCTTCTTAGGTTTGGCTGCCGGGGGGGGGGCGGAAAGTAGTGATCCAGTGACTTATGGCTTGTGTGCCTGCAGAAAGGGCTCTGTGTGCTACCTGTGACATGTGTGCCATAGGTTAGCCATTGCTGATCTAGATGATCTACTGTCCCACCACAGAAATGACAGCAGAAATCCTCACCAAGCTCTGATAAGTTTATTCCATATACTGTATGCTCTTGTTTATAAGGAAGTCACAGTCTTTCTTTCTTTCTTTCTTTTGAAAGGCCATTTTAAAGGATCAGTCTTTCAGCCCCCGAAGCCTGTGTTCTTTTCAAATTTAAAAAAAGAGGGTGGGACTAAGCATTCTTGCAAAACTGGTATTTTTAATTTATATGAGCTATTTTAATTCTGGGCCATTTTACTGGTAGGATCATTTGTTTCTGCTTGTGGGGGCTTAATATTTTTTTTTAAATAACATGAAAACTCTTTGCCCAAATTTCCCCAAATTTGGAACAGAGCAAGATCAAACTATCTGCTATAACTGTGCCAAAATTTAGTGCTGTTCCAAAGTCCATTTTCAAAGTTATAATTTTTTTTTGTTTGGGTTGCCTCCATTTTTATAATTGCCTTGTAGAATGTTGATTTGCTTTGCCAGCACAAGATCCTCGCTGCACTCTTGTGCTGGTACTAATGTAAGCTTGCACTATGCCCAGGCAGTCCAGATTGTATGATTGACCACACAACTCCGGTTTCACTCGTTCCACAACACACATGTGAAAGTGCCTTGTGAATAGCACTTCTGCCCTGTCATGCTTTTCCCTAATGTTGCAACTACTTTACATGCACTGAGTTTTGCAACAGAATTTCAGCCAGTGTAGCAAATGATACAATCAACATCAAATACGTAGGTCTGTGCTAAAGCTAATGCTGTTCACTGCAGGATTCTTTATATTAGAAATCATGTTAAGAGTTGGAGTGGCTGGGCAGACCTGTGCATGTTTACAAGTGTTCATGGGATGATTTTACTTTAAAAATATTCCATTCAACAACAAAATGGCCCCTGTTCTAAAACAAATGTGCTCAGCCATAGGGAGGCAGATGCAAGCTCCTTTTTATTCCTGTAGTCATGCTGGTTATTCAAATTAAGTGAGTTTAAAATGGGAAACTGAAGTACATGCTTAGAATACATCCTTTTTTCCTTCAGGGTTGGCAGATATGTTTTTAAAGGTTTTGTAGGCACTAGCATATTGGGAATGTAGAAGCACTTGCAAAGCATTGAATTTTGATGAAGAACCCCTGTGTCTAAAATGTGGCTGCATTACTAGGAATATTCCTGAGCAAACATGCATAGGGATTAAGATGTCTCATAACATTTTGTCTTTAAGTGGCCAACTAGGGATCTATGGGAAGGGAAGCCCACAGCAGGGCAGAAATGCAATAGTATTCTTTCATTCATGTTTCTCAGCAGCTGATATTCAGAATATGCTGCCTTTGATACTGAAGGTAAAAATTAGCCATAATGACTAGTAGCCATTGATAATGCTAGTTTTCACATTTGCTTAATTCCTTTGTAAAGCCACCCAAATTGGTGATCATCTCTGCATCTTGTGGTAGCAGATTCTATCGTTTAACTATGTGCTGTATGAAGAATTAATCCCTTTTATCCATCATGTATCTAGCACCATAGTTGACAAGGGGTTCTGGTATTGTAAGACAGATTTCCACCTCGAGTTTTTTTACACCACACTTTTTTCACACCTCTCTTATGTCTCTCCACACTCATCTTTTTACTGGTAAGTCTCAAACATAATTATTCCTTGTAGGTGAGTTGGTCCAATTTGGTTGTTGTTTTTTCTACACAACATATCTGGGGCAAAGATTTGGTATCTTACTTATGTTCATATTTCTATAGACCAATATCCTTTTCAGTATTTGTGTTCACGGACCTCAAGCAGTGCAGCATTCTGATAAAGTGCTGTACATGAGCCTGATCACAGGTGACTAGCATTATTAGAGGCTGTCGTGGCAGTTTCCACAGTTGAAGCTTTACATTCATGTACATATTGTACAAAAACTGGCCATATTTTTTTGTAGATGAAATAATTCAGTTCTGGTTTGGGCTGGGAACTTGACCTAATGTCTAGTTCAACTCTTCGGACAATTGCAGGGGAGGGGGGCGATGATAACTTCCTCAATGGCTCACGGGGGCGTTTCTTTCAAAAAGGTTAAGAACCACTGGTTTAGACAACTCTGCAGGATGCTCTCTGTAGGGTGTTTTCTAACAGTTTATATACATAGTAGAAGTCTTATACTGTATTCTCATATTTTAGCTCCTCTAACAAAAAGAAAAGCTGAGGCACCATATCACTGAACATTTGTTTTGCAGAAACTAAACAAAGAATTAGTCTTACTTTAGTATAATTACTATAAGTTATGAAAATTTAACTCATCATCATTAATTTCACACACTGTCTGAAATGTTTATTGATAGTTAAAGAAGAAAGCACAGGTGCAGTTTGA